CCTAGTAGCGATGCCCTTTGCTCCTAGTCGCTTCTTGTTTCTGTTTCTTCAGCGATGCATCGAGAGGAGTTTCAGTCAGTCGAGATGGCGCCGGTCTTCAGCGAGGGCCGCGAGGGCTGCCCAAGAGCAGTCGAAGAGGTCCAAGAGGCGCCGAGAACGCTACTAGGGCTCCTGGCATTGCTACTAGGAGCAAGGACGCTACAACTCTAAGCTCTTTAAACACTAAAGAATGGGAGCAAATGCTGAGGAATGGACGAATGAAAGCAGATATGAAGCACACTCATAGTCCACTCAAAAAGCGAAAACACTCTTCGCGTGGAAACTGTTATTTTTTCGTTTGTATTTGCTCGATCAGTGCGGTGGAGACTTGTGCACGCATGTTAGCAGTAGGCTGCGGCTTGACTGCTTGCGTGGTATTGCTCTTGTGCTTGCAGACGGATCACTTTTGAATCGTGACAAAGCTCTACCCTCACCAATCCTGCCAATTTTTTACTTGATTCATGCAAGCGCACTGAACTGCCTGAAGCAGCTTCCTTTTCTTTCTGAATCTAACAAACGACTTTGTGATGGTTGCACCATCTTTGGGGTGCTGAAGGTTGGCCCTTTGCATTTGTTTTGCTGGTTCCCCATTGGTTGGGGCAGCTGCTCCCCAGCTTTGTTGCTTTTGCGCTGTAGGTTTTCAAAATCATCTCATTACTAGTAGCTTTTAGCTACTAGTAGCGATGCACTTGTTACTCAGAGCGATGCAGTGCACCTTGCTACTTGTAGCTTAACTTTATTGTCACTAGTAGTAAGGCCAGGAGCCCCTAGTAGCGTCCTTGCTCCTAGTAGCGATGCACCTAATAATAGTGTCTTCAGACTCTGTTGTGATTTGAAGTTGAGGTGAAGCGTTTGGGTTTGTACGAGATAATTTCGGGCATGTCCAGGGGTCGGAGGTGGATTCTATCAGCCAGGCAGATGCCATTGAACTCTTGGGCTTTTAAATAATCAAAGAAATTCCAATTCTAATGCTAATGTAATTCTATTTGCAATGGCCTCCAACCTAATAGCCGTGGCCTCCGCATGCTTGTTTTCCATATCCTTCTTCCCGCACAGTTCTTCCGTGTCACATGTTGTTCTAAGTGCCATGTCAGTTGCCATGTCAGTTGCCATGTCGAAGCAACGAAGCCGTGTCGTGTCTTTGTCCGATGTTCTTCACTTCTTTCGTTTGCGGATTCAAAGTCTTTGGTGTCATTTTGTCTCACTGTCCATTCACTCAAAACTAGGTTGGTCAGATAGACCGGTAGATAGGACACACCGCACAGCTAGCAGCTAGCTGCTACGTACTCTGCTACGTACTTATTGTGTGCTATTTGATAAAAGACTTGTTACTAGTAGCGTGCTTGTTCCTAGTAGTAAGGCCAGGAGCGCCCCTAGTAGCGATGCCCATGGTTCCGTTCGTCGTCCTTGTTCCTTCTTCAACCGCGTTCCCTGCAGACCGCCATGAGTCGTGCCGAGCGCCTCTTGTGTGAGATCCGAGCGGCTGATCCAGACGTGGCGTCGCACCGCGTCATCGTGGTCACGGCCGGAGGGGTGAAGGCCTTCGACCTGCGAGACAATCCACGGTCGCCGTTTGCAGGACGAGAGGGACGGAACTAGACGAGGTTTCAAGACGTCCATGGTACAAGCAACGACGTTTGGACAGATGTGTTCTTTAAAGCCAAGAAGTTAAGCAAAGATATATCATTTTAATTCTTCATCAAGAATTGAAAGCACGCATATGATATATGTTTACATGATATGTTGGAATCTCTTGGGGCTCAGAAGTCCTTTTTGCTGACAGGGAAACACATGGCATGCCATGTTCTAGTCCGAAAACGTACGTTTGGAATAAGCCCGCAGCACGACCGATCCCGGGGATGATGCGATGGAACGGTGAAACGTCTCAAACCAGACATCTCTGCCCAAAGTCCAAAGTCAGACAACTCAGGAAACAGAACCTCAACCCACCTCGACATGTTCACAGTCCTTCGCAGAGGTCTATACCGTAGCGGAATTGGCACGGCAGAAGAGTGCCTGCACCCAGCTTCTGGAAAAAGCAGACAATCTGACGGTCGACGGAACAGAGGGTTATTGGCCAATGTCATTAATGCTACTTATAGGCCTCCGCCAAGACACGCGAGGCATCAATCCAGCGATTAGTAGCTGGATGTTCAAGCCTCCACGCGAAGAACATTTCAACCGTCCTCCTCCCCAACAGTGCCGCACCACAACAAAAAAACAACCCATACGGCAAAGCAATTCACCCCCAAAGCACGGGGCCTATTGAGTAGAAAGGACGATTGGGACCTCGGAAAGTTGAAAGTCCTTGGTGAGGCGGTGGGTGGGCAGAAAGACTCCCCAAAGATCCCCAAAGAATATGTTGGCAGTTTAGTAGAAAATCACAGGCACACTGCATTTACAGGTGTCCAAAATGAGTTGTTTTTCATTTGGGGTGTGTTTCATTCATGGGTATTTGGTCAGGTGGGATTTCCGGTGTCGTTGAAGTCACCTCGTTTGAAATCTGGTGCAAAACTTGTGAAGGCAAACGGATTTGAACCACCATCTTGTAAACAGGAACTCGGCGGGAAATACGAGGGTCAGCAATTAAGGTCAGCAACCGTTGGGAAGTTTCCCCAAATCACTAGTAACAAAGGGCATCGCTACTAGGAGCAAAGACGCTTCTAGGGGCTCCTGGCATCGCTACTAGGAACAAAGACGCTTCTAGGGGCTCCTGGCATCGCTACTAGGAGCAAAGACGCTCCTAGTAACAAAGGGCATCGCTACTAGGAGCTGAAAGGTCTCACAACATCTCCACCTCCCCGCCTTTTTTTCAACTGAAGCGCTGAAAGGACTCCCGGAAAAGTACGTATATACGCGTGCACGGTGAGGTCTTGTCATGCAAATGCGTGCAATGCGTGCAGTCGGCATTGTTGTTTCTCATGGAACCGACTAAGAACAACCAGGAGCCCCTAGTAGCGTCCTTGCTTCTAGTAGTTCGTTTCAGTAAATGTATGGCCATAAGGTGTGCAAAACCTCGACAACTTTGAGAAGACCGCACTGATCCCCGATGTGCGTTCGACTTCGTCTTCGAAACCAATAGGTGAGATAGATGTATGTTGTCCGCTGTTCAGTGTCAATTGCGAGCATAAGCATGGATAATTTAGGGTCTTCTCATGTCTTCTCCAGTTTTGCATATAGAAACATCAGCTCTCTGCAAAGAGAATATAATATACTGGCCAAATTGTAGGGTCAATCACATGGCTCTCGCCCTGAAACTGTTTGCATCTGTTTGTGGAGCACAAGTGAGTGAAGGGAGTACGAGTGAAGAGACAAAGTGCGCTGCAATGGGTTTGGTCACTGGGAAGGCGTACGTGATCCTCACGTTTACTCTTTGGCTGACCTACACACTGATCATCACCCGCCCTGATCTATCAATTGCTCTGTGTAGCATTAACGATAGAAAAGACAATTAAAGAATAAGTCCAAGAGGAAAAAGGAAGGTAAGGCCACTTTGCCGTCCTTTCTCATCTCTGAATCCATCCGTTCTAAAAGTTTTTTTTATAAAGAAACGCCGTCAATTCCTTTGCCTGCTCAGCCGCGTGAGCGCGAGGATTTCATGGTGCCTGGATGAGACCCCATGTGTTTTGCAGGCGGTTGCGTTGGTGGCTTCGCAGAAGATTGGTTTCCTTGTGGCAGGCTGGCGGTTTGCTTCGATCAATTATTCTGGGAAGCAAACTCGAGGCCATTGCAATTAGAATTTAATCTTAGAATTCAAAAAACAAATCAAATTGTCAGTAAACATAGAATTTAAACTTAGAATTCAAAAACTTCAATTTGTAGTCAGTAAATTCGGGTCTTTCATGCTTGGATTGCCCCGAAAGACCTGTACAGAAATCCCATTTGGAGGACGCAAACATCGGTTGGAAGCGTGCAATTCAGAAGCTACTAGGAACAAGTGCCACGCTAGTAGTAACAGGTGCCTTACTAATAGTAACAAGAAGCTACTAAAAACATTCCACACATGTGTTTTCTACTGGGAGCAAGGACGCTACTAGGAGCTCCTTTCCACGTGTGATTTCAATGATTTCAGAGGCCTCGTTCACCGACTCGTTTGCCCAAACAAAGATGACCCGTTGCAACCGTTGCATCGATGCCGCGAGTAAGACCACAGGCCCAAGAAGACCTCAGCATCCAAGAGCTGGCCGACTCGGGTCTACAGCTCCCTGGTAGACCTCCTTCTTCCTCCCGAGACCACTTGTATGCTCGCGTGAAGGATGTCGGGGGGATGGATGAACTGTGTCATGTGCGCATTGACGGCGTCATGAACAGCGTCCAAAGACTACTAGTGGCGATGCCCTGTGTTTCTAGTAGCGATGGCCTCCACCCAATAGCATCCGAACGCTACTAGTAGCGTCCTTGCTCCTAGTAGTAAGGCCTGGAGCCCCTAGTAGCGTTTTGTTACTACTAGTAAGTTAAGGCACTTGTTCCTAGTAGCTTAATTGTTTCTAATAGCTTCTTGTTACTACTAGCGTGGCACTTGTTACTAGTAGCGATGGCCTTTGCCAGGATCTCAAAGAGAAACTCCGTTCTGCCGGGTCAGTGCGGACAGATGTCCCCTTTCGTTCCGTGGAACTTCTTTGGCAAGGACGCTTACTGCGCCTCGGACTTGAACGGAACCGGCTTCAAAAGAGACGAACGGTTTGCCAAATCGCTTAGTGGCTTAGCCCTTGCTCCGTTCGTAGCGATGCCAGGAGCCCCTCATAGCATCATTTGCTCCTAGTAGTAAGGCCAGGAGCCCCTAGTAGCGGCGCTTAGAGAAGCTTTGTATAGTTTGCTTTTGTCGTTCTTACATTCGCTTTTGTTGCATGGTTACGAAAGGCAGCCGTTAGGCTGGCTGGAGTGTGGGTAGCTGGTATTGGGGTTGTACAAAGTGAGCTGTGCAGGTAATGAAATTTTAGGGGGTGACACAGCACAGGATGGACCAAAAATAGGCAAAGCTATATAGCCATACTGAATGTTTCCTTTTCACAGGGTCCGGCGCCTGACTTGCATGTTTCAGGATTTGGCAGCCATTTTGCCAAGTCATTTATGTGGATTCTCAAAGTTGTGCGTTTCTTTTTTTTTTCGCATTTCTTCGAAGATGCCACCCACTGATGCAATGATTTTGATTGCAAAGTATGCGCGTTTGCCTGTTCTGTTGTTCTCTCATTCCACCAGCTCCAACAGTAGTTTGTGCTGGCAAATCAAATCCGTCTTGGTGATCTTCCAAATATTGCCGCGAAGTTGACACAGCATGCGATGCGCATGTTGAAAGACGCAGGTGGGTGTAACTAAGCTGAAAGAACATCAGCAAGAAACTACTTCCATTGTTTCAGGATGTCGGGGCGTTGGGTTGCCCAGGTGTGCAGAACATGCTGGACAAGTTTTGGGTTGTGGAACAAGTGTTGTTCACACATTCTCAATGTCTCCAAAACAACCGCGTCGCAGCTCCGGTGGGATTTCCCATAAACCCAGCAACTAGTAACAAAGGGCATCGCTACTAGAAGCAAGAAGCTACTAGTAGCGATGCCCTTTGTTACTAGTATTTCCTTGTTACTAGTAAGGCCAGGAGCTACTAGCAGCGTCCTTGCTCCTAGTATTGAAATTTTGCTTCTGGGCCCTTGCTTGGTTCTCATAAAGTCATAAAGCTCCAATCCAGCTGCCACTCTAAACTCTGAAGCCCAACAACCTAATGTCCCACCCCACCCCTAACCCCCCCCACCCCCCCCACCCAACCTAATGCCCCACCCCACCCCACCCCAACCTAATGCTTGCAATCATATGTGTGTATATGTCTGTGTCGCGAATGAGTCAGATTTGGTGTCGCAAATGAGTCCCTTGCCGGCCAGGAGCTACTAGTAGCGATGCCCTTGTCACTCCCAGTAGTTTTTGAAATTTTGAACAGTTTTGTTTCAAGAAGAGTTTTGGACCATGAGCTTCGCTACTTTGAGTTATTTTTTCAGTGGACACAGAAGAATGCATGATTTGCAATGGTGGCTTGAAAAGGTATTTGAAGACATGAACACGCACATTGAGGTGGCGTCAATCGATGTGGTCATTTCTGAATCCAAATGCGACCTTTCGTCGACAGAACAGCAAATGAAGCTTCTATCATGGATCCGTGCTGGAAGCATTGCTGGGTTGCTTGTTGGTCCGCCCTGCGAAACATGGTCGGTGGCGAGAGAACACGCGCCTGAAACTGGAGGCCCTAGGCCCATTCGGTCGCGCACATCGCCATGGGGCCTTTGGGACATCAGGGCCAATGAGAGTGCCCAAGTTGAAATGGGTTCCCTACTTCTGGGATTCGCGCTGGAGGCTATGTTGGAACAAGCCCGCAAGGGGGGTTTCGGTGTGCTCGAGCATCCCAGGTGCCCCCGGGACTTCATGCCCAACAAGGCGCATGCCCCATCAATTTGGGACCTTGCTGTCATGAAATGGTTGATCAGCACAGGTTTGTTCGGACTCCTACACGTTGAACAAGGACATCATGGTGCTTCAAGCAGGAAACCCACCACCTTGCTTCTCTGTGGGACGTCTACTGAGTCTGCGTCTGAGCTGGAGCGTAGTCTGAGGTCCAATGTCACACCTTGTACAGCCAACATAGGCAAGAGTGGTACAGAGTGGAAGACAAGCCATCTAAAGGCTTATCCTTCAGCTTTTTGCAGACTTTTAGCTCTGTTGTTTAAGATGTGGTGGTGCGACAGAGCGACAGCTCCTCTTACTGAAGTCGATGCGGCCCGAGAATGGCTAGCTGATCTGTATAGCCATCTCTCGACAGGTCAAAGTACCTTTGGACCCGACTATCACAGAGGAGCCCACCAGTAATTCAGAATTCAAGTGCGAGGCGCTGCACTCTTTACAGAGATCCGTGCGCGAATCGGAAAGCGGAAAATCGGTTTCAAGAAGAGTTTTGGAACCATGAGCTTCGCTACTGTTAAAGGGGGATCGAGGTCCTGAGGCAACGGGAAAGCTCCATTCTCGTGCCCTCACACGTTTCAAGTTTTGGGCTGCGGAACGAGTGTGTTTCGGAAAAACTACTCGTGCCACAAGCAAAAACAGCTTGTTTGTGCAGGATCCAACCTTTCACAATGCCTATCTTTGGAATCTTGCATCCGGATGTTTTATTAGGCTCTCCTTTTTTGGGAATCCAGCTGAACATATTGAATTGCTGGGTTGAGATCCAAGTATACATAGACTGAAATGAGGAGCGGAGTGTCTGTCATTTAAAGCGGATGTCATTGAGAAGGGCGGAGATGAACGCCAACCCCTAGCGACAGAAGTCAGTCCTGCGGAGGTTGGTTTTTGTTTCCTCTTTTAGGTTGTCTTCAAAAACCATCAAGAGACATGTAGGTCTCCACGATTGCCCGGGTTGTTTCTAAATGTTGCAATTGGTTTCGAGTTGGGTCTTTTTCAGGCACGATGACACTATGCTGCGTTCGTTGGGAGCAGATGCTGTGTTTTTCTTGCTCTACGACCGCTGGAGCTTGAGACGAAAGCGCTTGGCAGCCTGGCGTGCCGCTGCTGATGCAGATGTCCAAGGATGATCCACTTGTTACTAGTAGCTTCTAGCTACTAGGAGCGATGCACCTGTTCCTAATAGCGATGCACTTGTTACTAGTAGCTTCTTGTTACTACTAGTAAGGCACCTGTTACTACTAGCTTCTTGTTACTACTAGTAAGGCACTTGTTACTAGTAGCTTCTAGCTACCAGGAGCGATGCACCTGTTCCTAATAGCGATGCACTTGTTACTGCAAGTCGAAGATCAGGTTGTCATGGGGATCGAGAGGTTGTCGCGTGAAGTGAATGCCGATGAATCGAGAGAAAAAGATTGCAGAATATGTGTTTCTGTTCAAGTCAGTAGGATGTCAAACCTCGTTTCTCATCTCATTGGCTTGGATTGGAAGAGGGCCGGTTGGCTCTTTGGTGTGTTTTGATGCTTGGTGTTTGGTTCTCGCTATGCGGCTCTTCCTCCCAAGCTATCACAGACTTTGAGAACAATGTGCGTGTATGGTCGATAATTAATGGCCAACGGGTTTGTTTTCTTGTTTGTCCTTCTTTGTCATTTCTCCGTGCGTTGTCTTCTAAATGCTTTTCGATCGAGTGCAAGCCGGACTAGGCCAAAATCTCAACCCATGCAGGGTCAAGGACAGTGCCGAGCAAACCATTTTATGGAACCCCATGAAAGGTGTATAGTACTCGAAACGAAGAGCCTCGCTTGCAGCACCGGTTTTCAATTTCAGGACAATCATGGCATTGCAAGGCTGCTTCAAACCAGCTCACATTCTGATTCTAGAGTCTACATACTTGATCAGAGGTCAATTCTACACAATGATCAGCAACTGCATGGCAGAGCCATGGCCAAACTTACACTCACAGACTTCGTTTCGACATGCACAGCTTTCTGCCCTAGAGGAGTTTCTTGTTACTAGTAATGCCCTTAGCTACTAGAAGCTACTAGTAGCTTTTAGCTACTAGTAGCTAAAGCCCTTACTGGTAGCTTCTAGGAGAGGTTCCTGTTCTCAGCGGAAGGCGCAACAAAACTGAGTTGTTCAGAACACAATCTTCTGCATGTCGCTTACGATCCAGCTGCTCTACGGAACCTTTGGAGGTGACCAAAGATCAGAGTGCTGTAGATGTTTGGAACAGACTTTGAGAAAGACAGTTGAGAGAAACACATGTTGCTTCAGATTCAAGATTCACAACATGTGTTTTTTTGGTGCCACATTGCAGGATGGTGCCTCATGTGTCTTACTAGCAGACTTTGTCGCATCATATGTTGGGTGTGTTTGTTGACACTTCTGTGAGAGGTCAGCAGTTTCGCGGTGTTTTCACGTCGGCAGCGAGATGGAAGTCAAGGCATGTGTGATTTTCTGGTCTTGGGGCTTTCGTTTTGTTCTCAATTCAACAGAAGCAGCCTCGTCAAGCCATCAAAACAGAGCAAATACTCAACAACCATACCAGGAAGGAAGAGGAAAAAGGAACAAAAGTGGTAAGAGTTCCAAAGGTCAAGGCAACACCTGGCGAAGAATCAACCGGAATTCCCGAAGTTGGAATAACGTTCTATGATGACCAGTGGAACCATCCTCGCATCAGGGATGGTATTCAAAGTTGGGGTCACTATGAATATGACCAAGCAGAAGGAGAAGATACCGGACTCTAAGACATCTTCAACCGCACCTTGCCCAGATTCCAAAGTCTTTCGGGGCGTCCACAGTGGGAACCCTGCAACTTCATCGGATATTGCAAAGACACGCATTCCTAGTTGAATGTTACTACTAGCTTCTTGTTACTACTAGTAAGGCACCTGTTACTACTAGCGATGCACTTGTTACTACTAGCGCATTCCTTGGGAATTCCACAGAGGAACGGATCGCTGAACGAGAGCGTTCATGAAACACATCGCACATCAATGACCTCGGACCCAAAATTGTAAGTGGCACCGACCCAAACAAATTGCCCTACGAAACTGTGAGAGAACCTCAAAAAATTGAGAGTCACCAGCGCGCCAAAGGCACACTCAGTGGATTGCACATGTCCCATTTCTCGTGAGGCGGAACTAATTGAGTTCAGGTTTTGTTGGTTCAAGTTTGCGCTTAGGCCCTCAAACCAAATGCTAGATTAAAGCAATAGAACCGGAGAACAGAAACGAACCATGGGGACGGTGCTAGATGTTGTATTGTTTTGTTTTGTTTTCATCCGTCCCATGCAATGAGGCGTAGATCACCTTTTGTCTTTCCGAGTGTTGATTGGTGCCTGGACTGCAGACTTTGCAGGTCGATTTGGGGCTCATCGCGACGTGCCGTCGTGCCTCTACTCCCAGAAGGCACGCTGTCTGACCGACTCAAGTTCAGTATAAACCATGTCATGATGTGTTTTTAGGGTGAATAGGCGCATCATACAATGGGCTATCTGTTGCAAGCGTGAAGAATAGGCGTGTTGTCATGTTGATTAGGTTGGAGGCCATCGCTAGAGGGCATTTCTATTTGATTCCTTTTGCTACTAGGTTGACTGGTTTCTTTGTGTGGTCTTGTTCCTCGGTCAAAGGCATGGATCCACGCGGTCGACACCACTGCGGCCCGCATACATTCCATGGAAAGACGCCAGTGCAAATCGTAGAGAGATTCAAGGCCTGATTCGTTTCGTGTCTCGCTAGTGGTAACAAGTGCATCGCTAGTAGTAACAGGTGCCTTACTAGTAGTAACCGGACTTCCAAGACAAGCTTCGTTCTACCGACTTACTTCGTGACTGAAATCGAGGACCCATCAAGCTTCCCATGGTGTTGGCCTCAGATCACTGGGCCTGACGGCCGATGGCACCATCTAGTGGTGCATCGGTCTTGACAAGGAAAGATTGAAAGGATTCTGAAGGATTCTAAAGGTCCAAAGAATAGCCAGAAAACAGTCCGGTCTAGACTAAAGGTGTTCTGAATATTGTTCTAGATCTTTCTAGGTTCACCGGTAGGTTCGACCCTTGACGAGTCGACGGACGAGCCGTTCGGGCGAAAGAAAGCGTGGACGGTGCCGTGAAGACCAAGACCTCACGTAGGGCCGAAAAACCTCACGAAGCCTCACGAGTGCCAAAGACTTCGAAGCTCTGAATGGTTTTGGAATGCGAACATTTGGAGCGCTGGGATAGACTCCTGATGCTATTGCTATTGCTCCCCTTTCAGAGCCTTGCTTAAATCGCGTAGTTTTCGATTGATAAGCTGGTAGCTCAGTTCCAGCTGGTAGCTGGTTGCTGCTACGTTCTGACTCCTAAAATGGCACCGAAGTCGGGCCCGAGTCGGTGGCCCGTCCCTCTCCGCTTTGAAACCGAGGTACAAAGTGCCTGAAGCATTGCGGCAGAGGCGCTTCGAGGCGCGGCTGACAGAAATGCAACCCGTCTTCTCAGTGTGTCAAGTCTTAGTCAAGTCGACATTTCTGTGTCAAGATGAGTTCCTGCGTTTACCAAACAATGCATGTTTCAGCTTGCAACACATAGTTGCATAATGTTGCATATAGAAAGTTTTCAGAGAATGTCAACGTGCTTTATTTCGTTCCCCCAGTCTAAACAGGTGTTCCCTTTTCGGCAGGAACTTTGGCAGTTGGCACACCGCTGTGGGCACAAATCAGCAAAGCAGGCGTGAACACTGATCAGGCATCCTTATGTTCGCTATTAGTAACAAGTGCCACGCTAGTAGTAACAAGTGCCTTACTGGTAGTAACAAGAAGCTATTAGTAACAAGTGCCACGCTAGTATCAGGCATCCTTATGTTCAGTTAGTCCAGAATCGATCATTCTCAATTCAACACACACAGGAGCAAGGACGCTACTAGGGGCTCCTGGCCTTACTACTAGGAACAAGGACGCTACTAGGGGCTCAAACACTGAAATACGTCATAATTATGTCAGCTGGTTTTCTCAGCATCCAATATAATCTAATTCAGTGCTTTTGTGTGTGACTGCTTCTGCAAACTACAATCCGATCAACATACAAGAACAATATGTTTTTTTCTGTTGCTCAAGCTGAGACTTGAATGGATGGTTGAATGGGTGTCCAAATATTCTGACGACGCTATGAGTGACATTTCATGCAGTGGCAACAGGCAGATTCAAAGCAACAACTGGGAGGGTGGACACTCGACTCAGTTTGGGGCACAGTCACTCCAGCGACTCACATGTAGGACCGGAAACCGGAACAGAGCTTTGTTGGTGACATGAAGGTGACACTTTAAGCGTTGTAGTCATGTTCGTCAGGCCCAAGGTCTCACCTTTTTGTTGCTGACAACAGGTCCTTACTACATCATAGCCGGGTTTTTATGACTAAGCATGTATCCTCATCCTAAATGTTGTTTTTACTTTTCGGATGGATGCAAGTAAGAGCTCGGGATGGAGTACCACAGCAAATGTCTGAGATTTGTGTTTGCATCTAGCCTCCGTTGTAAATAATTCACCCTTGTATTGTCTTTCCATTGAAGACTCGGCAAAAGATTTGGAGCGTATGCTCCAAAACAGGGTACACAAGTGTACATTCTCTTGGGTTTGTTATACCCGTACCATCTGGCATGAACCACCCTCTATGTGAACAATAGCCGCATATATATTTTACCGACATTAAGTTATGGCTTGGGTGGCTGCTTTTTTGTCCAAGACGTTGTGGCCCAGTTGAACGAGGTAGGCGTAAGCTATAAAACCAGATCTGCTGTACACGTATAGTACTGTGGCATCATAGGTGCGTAGAAAACTTGGAAAACGAGACCCCAGCCAAGCACCACCATGAAATTGCGTGGAACGTGTCTTCCTTGAGCGCAGGTTTGAAAACGTTCCTTTGCAGATTGTAACCTTTGTTTGTTTCCTTGTTATTTCTTTAGACCCTCTTCGTGTAACCTACTATCCTACTAGCGATGGTAGCTTTCCTGTGCAGATTGCAATGCAATCAGATGAAGCTCCAGCCGTTCCAAAGCCAGGCTGTGAAGCTCCTAACCGAGACCCCTGAAGTGGAGCAAGGTGGCTTTGAGAGGGTTCAGCGTGCCGACCTCAGAATGAGTGCCACGCTACTAGGAACAAGTGCATCGCTACTAGGAACAAGTGCCTTACTAGTAGTAGCAAGAAGCTACTAGGAACAAGTGCCTTACTAGTAGAATGAGTTTCAGCCTCCGAATTCCTTGGAGGCCATCGCTATTAGGAGCGATCGGACGCTACGAACGGGGCTCCTGGCCTTACTACTAGGAGCAATGTTCACTACGAACGGAACAACGGGCATCGCTACGAACGGAGCAAGGACACTACTAGGTTGTTTTGTTTCCTTGTGGCATCTTGTGGCAAGGAGTTCGACCTAGAACGGTTTCAATTCGATCCCTCGAGTTCAACTGGATCCTGAAGTGTCAAATGCATGGCTCTTATGAAAGCGATGCCCTTTGCTCCTAGTAGCGATGCCAGGAGCCCCTAGTAGCGTTCTTGCTCCTAGTAGTAAGGCCAGGAGCCCCTAATAGCGACAGCGTCCTTGCTCCTACTAGGGATGGCCTCCAGCCTAATGGGTGGCTGTTGTGAACGCCTCCTCTTCCTCGCGTGGAGAGTTCGACACAAGTCCGTGGCAGAGCAGAAGGTAGTTTTGTTCGATGTTGCCACCAGTCGGTTTGTTGGCTCACCATTAACTTCAGTTTGATGAACGAGGTGGGAAAACGATACGTGCATGGACGGTCTCTCGTGTTTTCCACACCTTGCTGCCACGAGATCCCGACTTCGGGGTCAAACTGCTGCACAATTTGGAACTGTCAGACTGTGAAGGAACTGCATATTTATATATGATATGCACAGAGTTTATTGATGTCTTTTTTTGTTGATCATCTTGTGTTTTGTGACTTAAACATATTCTTTGACATGTTAATTATGCGTAACAACAGGGTTGCACACTTCATATTCAAGGGTTCTACCCCGGTTCGTGCTGCACACAAACATGTGAATTTGCAGCATTGTTCATTCAGAAGTCCGTAGCGAAGATCTATGCGAGGCCTGAACCGATCTCAAAACCGAGCATTGCGCAGTGGCACTCCAGCGGCCCCTGTGTATGGCAAAGGCTTGGAGCAAAAACAGATCCCTAGTGTTCTTTCTCTCTAGTAGCTTCCTTTGCTCCTAGTAGCTTTTTGTTACTACTAGTAAGGCACTTGTTACTAGAAGCGATGCACTTGTTCCTAGTAGCTTCCTTTGCTCCTAGTAGAAATGCCCTTTGCTCCTAGTAGCGTCCTTGTTCGTAAGGCCAGGAGCGCCCCGTTCGTAGCGTCCGATCGTTCCGAAGAACGCAGCGAAATCTGTGCCAAATCGAGGCCCGCGTTCCATCCACGACTGAAGAGCTATTTCGGCTGTGGAGGTATAGCGAAAAAGAGAAGCTGAAGAGGAGAATCTACTGTGGGCCCATCTCTACTAGGTTGGAGGCCATCATTTCTAGGTTGGGCTCTGAGGAGAATCGACTTTTCAGTTGGCTCTTGAGCCTTGGGCCCAAGGCCCATGGATTCTTGCGCCCAAAACGGCATTCTCGCGCCAGAAAGCTTGAAAGTGCACGAAACCACGCTCGTCACCCGACATACCGCGTTCTTGGCCTTTTAGATTTCGACATATTTCGACTGATTTTCTCGAACGTGCAGATGGGCCCAGCAAGTTTTGAGTGTGAGTCAAGGCAGGAAAAGACAGCTGCAGAAAGTCTGCTCTCGTCACACCGTCTCAACCTCTTAATGATCAGCTTGGAAACTCGAAGCAGACTTTGAGCTAGGACTCTCGCAAGCCTGCGTTTCGAATTAGCCTTGCAGTTCGTGTCCTGTGTCCTCTCGCACCATGGATTTGCCAGGCAGGGCCCGCGAATATGTGATCCACCATTTCGTGCCCTAGGATTCTTTGGAATTGCATGGTCTTCTTTAATACGGAAATTAAGGGAGTTGTATGTTTGTTTAGGTTGGAGGCCATCGCTATTTGGTGAGTTGTATGCGTGCTCAGCAAACAGAGCAAAAACCGCGCAGGTGAAGAGTTGATGTGTCTTCCAGCCTTGGCAGCCAAGAGCGATGCGACGATGGGCCCACGAAAGCGCATCTATGAAACTGAGACAGGAGACGGGAGAAAAAGAAGCTACTAGGGGCTCCTGGCATCGCTACTAGGAGCAAAGGAAATCGAGAAAAGATGAGGAAATGGAGAAGAACATTGTACAGAAACTAATTTGAGAGTCAGAAGGAAAGAGTCGAAAGAAAAGAAGGCACATTGGTAAGTGCCAAGCAAGCCACTGGCAAGCCAGCGTTTCAAGTTGCTTTTGATAGTCTGCTTTTCATACCTCTGAAATGTCCATAAATATGTTACGTGCTGGCTTGTGTTTCTTGGCGTTGAAAGAGGAGAAAGCTTGCTGACGAACAAAGTCTATGCAGAGCAGTTTCATTCTGCAGCAGGGTCGCACACTGGAGCTCAGAGTGCTTCCTCCGTGAGGGTCTACTCTAACACAGATCGGCAAAGGCTCTACGCAACTTGGCGATATATGTGGTAGCCGATACTATTTCATGCTTCATTTTACATCGTGAAGTGAAATGAGCTCATAGACTATTGAGACTTTTTGTTAAGCAGGACATGTCCATTCACTTTCCCTACCAAATCATTAGTGGGAGCGCTTCTTCCAGGAGGCGTGAGCTATCCTGCGTCCAGTTACTAGACGCTTAAGTAGCTAGGGGCGAACTTCTCCATGACTTAATTAAGTGGGCACCTACTCAAATAAGTGCGAAGGCCTGCAACCTAGAAGCAAGCGATGGCCTCCAACCTAGTAGCATTGAAAATGACCTGACAATACATCTTAACAAGAAGCTACTCGGGGCTCCTGGCATCGCTACTAGGAGCAAGGGCCTTACTACTAGTAACAAGAAGCTAGCGAAGCTAGTAGAAACACGAATTAGTAAATAGAATTAATAAGCTACTAGGAACAAGTGCATCGCTTCTAGTAACAAGTGCCTTACTACTAGTAACAAGAAGCCAGTAATAACAATAAGCCGTTGTACGTCAGGATGGCTTGGCCGGACGACCTGGACTGCAGGGGCCACCTGCGCCCTTCAACACGCCTCGGCGGCGCTTCCCTGGCGCCAGCGTCTCACGCGTCGATGGGCTCCCGGGCGGAGAGTTTGAGGCAAAATGGCATCGCTACTAGGAACAAGTGCCACGCTAGTAGTAACAAGTGCCTTACTAGTAGTAACAAGAAGCTAGTAGTAACAAGTGCCACGCTACTAGTAACAAGTGCCTTACTAGTAGTAACAAGAAGCTACGTTCGGGGCTCCTGGCATCGCTACTAGGAGCAAGGACGCGAAAGATTATATATATCATATCTACATATAGGCTAATTAGTAGGTAACCTGAGACATTTTGGATTGACAATAGATTTTCAGACCCGCGATGGATCGATATGACTGGGATCGCAGATAAGAACTCGAGGTAATCATTGGTGAGTTCTTGAAGCAGACCAGCAGAAGTTCCACTGCCCCGCGTGAAATGGGCTTTTCCACCCTAATTCATTTGCGAGATTCCACGCAAAAAGGAGGTTGCATGCGTAGATTCAGCCTGCAGGCTAGAAAGGGTCAGATGTTTGTTTATTTGTTTGAACTCTTCTTTTTAGCTTGAACATGTTTGTTGGGCCAGAGGGTAAGAAGTCCAAAAATGCAAACCAAACCCTTGGAGAAGGAATGCCAACAGGTGTTTAAAAACGTGTTTATGGACATGTGCTTGCAAAATATTGTGGAAGAGGGGAAGAAATCAAACGAGCCAGATGCCAGGGAGCCGGTGATTGATTCGGATTCTGCCAGCAACTGCACCTACAGACACCAGACCTAGAATGGAGGCCATCGCTCGTAGGTTGGAGAAGACAAGAACTGTCATCAATTCGTCTTCGTGGCCCCGTCACATTCAAGTGAATCAAGAGACGTTCTTGCTCCTCCAGGATGTTCGTTTTCGGTGTTTGTCGAAGATGTTTTGTTTGCACTAAATCCTTTTGATACAGTACAAGTTAAAGGATGTTAAAGGTTGTGATACAAGGAGCAAAGGGCATCACTAGTAGGAGCAAGGAAGCTACTAGGGGCTCCTGGTATCGCTACTAGGAGCAAGGAAGCTACCAGGAGCAAAGGGCATCGCGACGGTTGTGATACAAGGTGGTTCTTCAAAACTGTTAAAGGATACTTTGGAGAACTGGCTGTCGCTACTAGTGTGGAGGCCATCCCTCCTGGGGTGGAGGCCATCGCTGGCCATTGCAATTAGAATTAAAGTTAGAATGCCCTTTGCTCCTGAAGGGTCACAGGCCACAGGGTCCCGGAAGAGGACTTGGCGCAGACTGGTGCTGTGCATTGAGACTTAGGCTGTTGCGAGGTGATGCGTCACCCTTGGCTTCAGAGCATCCATCAGAATACGGAGAGCTCTACACAGGAGCAGCTGGTGCACCTAAGCATTGGCTTCTCGGGACCGTAGAGCAAATCTCTCCTGGCTGCTTGGCAACGTAACGATAGCCTCCAACCTAGTTGCGATGGCCTCCATCCTTTTTTAGCGATTGTTTCCTCCATGGGAAGAAGTACACGGACCGTTAGGAAGAAGTAAAAGAACCGTTAGGAACATTCAACAGGCAAACAATTCAGCTTGAAATTCTCAGCGGTGAAAGACTGTTGGACCAAGGTCGGCACCGAGTACGTGCTCTCGGGGCAGGTCCTTCTCAGGTGGATGAAACCGAGAAGCACGAAGGAGTAGACCTTTACTCTTTGTTTTTTGTGTGTTCTTTTTTGTTTTTGTCTGTCTTTTCCGAACTGGACGTTTCCTTCGTTCTCAAATGGATGGCTCAGAATAACACAAAGACTGATGATTTGCTGAGAGCGCCGGCAAGGCCGACAGTACGTGGCGTGGCGTTGCGGCGTTGCACTGAGGAAGTCGTGCTGGGTCACGACATTGACGGGTCCACTGAATTGACTTGGGCCCTTCATGGTCGGGCCGGCATCAAGAGCATGGGAATGGTTCCGAGAATGGAAGGCCGTCGGAACATCCCATTGCTACTAGTAGTTCCCGGGCAAGCCGGCGGCGGAAGTTTCCTATAAGAAGAAATTGACCTATAGAAGTGTCCACGTTCTCTCCAACATGTGCGTCCTCATTAAAGTACTAAAGTTGTACTAGAAAGTCGCCAGTTCTCACCATCCAGCTCCACAGATACTCCGCGTACTAAAGTTGTACTACAAAGTCGCCAGTTCTCAGCTTCCAGCTCTACAGATTGCTCCGCGTACTAAAGTTGTACTAGAAAGTCGCCAGTTCTCACCATCCAGCTCCACAGGTACTCCGCGTAGTAAAGTTGCACTACAAAGTCGCCAGCTCTCCTCGTCCAGCTCGCCAGATACTCCGTGCACTACAGTTGTACTACAAAGTCGCCAGTTCTCAGCTTCCAGCTCCACAGATACTCCGCGTACTA